GGTTCTTGGCATTTGGAACATAAGCATTAAATCCACAGAAACAATTTATTAGTTCCAATAAAATCAAAGGGTAAAGAATTACTCAAAATTAAGTTCTCTCTGTTCTAAGCATAATTTGCACTTCAGTATAATTTCAAATGTTGTCCTATTTTCCTTAGAGAAAGAAAACAAGAGCCAGTCATCATTTGCACTTTTTGGATTATAAATCTTCTCCCAAAATTGCTGTAGCTTTTTAATTTCCATTTCAATCCATTACCATTAAGGGATTAAAAAGGCCTATGGCTTAAAGTTTCTTTAAACTGCTTTCAAATTCTCAGTCACCGGGACATTAAATGATTTTCTAAAATGCAGATTTAAAGAGGAAAGACACTAAAAAAAAGGCAACAAGACCCACAGAAAACCTGCTGTGTATGTTGAGGAGACCTCACAATTAAGATGCTATTTTCTCCCTGATTCACAACCTCTCATAAAACCAAGGAACAGAAGGCACAGGGAATCTTACTAAAAAGAAATTAAGCTGTAAAATTGTAAGATATCTCTTGAGTCAGCAACGTGTCGAAGCATGTGCCTAACTCTAAAGGACATAAAACTTTAACTCAGTGCACCGGAAATTCCTAAGTATTTTGCTGATGATGGTCCATGGGTGGTAAATGTCAATTATCATTAACATTTTTTGTGATCAAGAATCATTGTCAGTTGGCACAGATACCAGATTCATTCTCCTTACACCAGTGGAACCACACCAACTTGTATTAGCTGAGCGTTTAACTAAAACACATCAAGATGTAAACTTTTTCTTTAAAACAGCTGTTATATTCTCCCCTGTCCATGAAAACTAACCTATTCTGCCAAAAAACCCACCCCAAACTCACCTCATGCCACTGGCAAAGTTGCTGAGCAAGCTCTTTTTCCCTCTCTCTCATCTATGCTTTCAGAAAGACAAAGCTGAGGCAAAGGAAGGTGCAAATCTGCTAACTCTTGCAAGGTAGTTGTGGAAGGTTGGAAAAGTAAAATGAACAGTATACAAAACTGAATTCAGTTTATGTGCAGTATTTGTTTGAACTCATATTCAGAAGCCTAGGAAGGCATACTAGCAACTCTCACAGAACAGCAGGATCAGACTGGAAGTTTGTTTGTTCTTTGGCTAAATGGGGAGAAGAATGTCTTTGTGAGAGGTGATTTTCTGGTTTGCTTAAAATCTTATAAAATGAATGCCAGATTTTTAACACTCTCTTACACACTATTCTGTGGAACTCTAGAGATTATAGATTATTAACTCAAGAAATGAAAGTCCATCTCATATAGGGAAGGAGGAGAGAGCAAGCTTGCTACAGAAGATCTGGGTAAACATCTTGGAACCTTACTGACTCTTCAACCAGAGCAGTGCTGGTCAGAGCCTTTGCAGGCTTTTGGCCTCACTATCATCCCCGAGTTGTTAACATCCTTTAAAGGACCATTATGACTGAGTGAACCCAAATGCCAGCTTATGCCGAGCCTGCTGGTGCTGGCTGCAGAGCCAGTTCTCATGCCCCTTGAGCTGTGCAATGGGATGGGAGGTGAGGCTGAAAAGCACAATTCTGCACAGGTAACATTTCACCTGGTTTTTTATTGCCCTTCTGAGGACAACCAAGATAAAATATTTCACTCAGAAGCTGAACTGAAAAACAACATATGCCATCTTACCTTCCAAATGTTCTGTTGTAACCAGTCCTAATGCTACCATGAAGGCAATTTTCTAAGGGAAAAATAAACAGGAGTTAGATTTTCTACTGCAACAATCACAGTAGAAGTAAGTAAATAAATAAATCTAGCATTAACAGAAAAAAAACAGTAAACATCTTTTAGAAATTCATCTTACTTGACTTCATAGTAATATGAACAACTTGAACCAAAGATTTGCTTCAGATATACCTGGTGAGTCACATCCTACATGCATGACTATATGAACTTTAGCAGTTCAGAGACTTCTGAAGCCAGTGCTGTGTGATGACTATTTTACACAGTGAATGTTCTAAATTCAGTCAATTCATTCAATTAAATTTCATATTGCTAGCTGCTTTGTTACTACACTCTTTAGAGAAGTCATTGTGTATTATTATTACTATCTGGACATGGCACTGCTTTTATTGCATGTGAGCAAGCTGTATGAAGTAAAACAGGATATGATACACTTTCACTGAACTTTGCAACACTAAACAAGACATTTGAAGCACACTGAAATCCTGTTCACCCCAAAAAAGCATTCAGAAATTTCCCAAGTTACAAAAACAATAGCACTTTCATGAATTAAGAAGAGGAACACTAATCCAATATTTTCCCTCAATGCAGAGTGAATAAACATCTTCCACTAACACTGGTGAACTCATTTTTCAGTGAGGAATCTGATCTAAAATATTACTCAGAATTATTTTACACTATATATGCACAAAACACATCTGCACACTAACAAATTTTCTGATACAGTAATAGGGCAAGTACTAGAGCAGACTTTAAATTTTCTGTCAGTGATTTTTCATTGGGAAATTTTTCCTTGAAGAAAAAGTTTTGCTGAAGCTTTTATTCCATCTTTTTGATGGAAAATTGAAATTCTGCTCTGTTTTTCCAAACCCAAACTGAACTGGTTTGAAGTCATGTCGGTGGTACCATGGGGCCTCAGGAACTTCTTCCTCTCTCTGCTGTTCTTAACAATCTTGTTGTATCATGTTACCCATGTGGCATTTCCATGAGGTGCAATTCCACAGGAAGGACAGTCTGACTACGATACCCAAGCAAGCAAAACCCACAGTCCAACTCTGATCAAGCATTCAAAGACCACAGGAAGATGCAATTGTCATACTCACCCAAAATAAAAAGCGTAGATTTAGGTCAAACGAAAATACAATGTTTAAGCAGCAGAAGGTCAAAACTTTCTGTTTCAATCAAAGAAGTGTCAGGTGAACATGTTTCAACACTTCCAAGTCAAAATTAGTCTGACCTTCTTGTTTTGTGAAAAGCCTGATGATTCAACTTTTCATTTCAGTTCAGGTTAAAATCAACTAGTAAGTCAGCAGAACTACCATTTCCTTTGCAATTCTGACTTTTACATAGTGAAATTGTGCAAGCAAGCACATCCTCATTTGTAGATTAAAAGATGGGGTGGGGTTCTTCAAAATCTGAGGGTCAGGACTGGACATCTATATCCCTCAAGTATCTGTGAAAATATCTTGTCAAACAGGTGAACTAACAACCTCATAAAACAGAAATATTTTATTTCCACAGTCTCCTAGTATGTAGCTCTCCTTGTAGATTAAAAATGGTGATGCAGAATCTCATCAGTGGCAATTTAGATATTCATATATATATATATGTGCTATATTTCTGCCTTCCATAACTGTGGTAATGACAAGCACATGTGTTCATTTGCATGTCAGACCCTGATTTCAATAATGTTCACTCCTTATATGTGTAAAAACACCAGCAAGACACAGTGGGGACTCCATACCTGAAGGGAAAGATAAATATTTGATCCAAGATCTACTGTGCAGATTTGAGAAGAAAATTAGTCAACTGAGTAGAATCACAAGCTCCACCTCACCCCCACCAACAAGTAACTTTGTGTCAGGATACATCTCAGTGCTCTGAGTAGAAGTAATAACAGCATTTATTATAGAATCAGAAAGTTGGGATGGTTCATGTGCAGTTGTGTTTTCCCAGTGGTGCTCAGAGGCCCGTACTACCTGCAGGTTAAACTGTAGGGAGGGTGTACATTTTCTGACATCCAAACTACATTTATTTGAGTACTGGAATGCTTGCTAAACAACTTCGTCTCTTCATGCTAAAAATATTTGAATATATATCTAATTAAATGTAATGACAGCATACTTGCTTCACATATGAAGAGCCTTCATAAATGGACTTGATAATTGTCTCACTATTAAACACAGGAAGGGTTAGCTTTTATAGGTGTTTGCAAGATGGTTCCTTATAAAAAAATCCCAGTAGAAGCTGTATTATTTTTAACCAGGATATCATAGTAACGGTATATTTGTTTTTATGGGTTTTGCTATTTCACAGTCATGTAACTCATTGAAATAAACTCAAAGTACTACTTCCGCTGTAATGCTTTTATTTCAAATATCACAGTGTCTATTGTTTCTCCTCTGCACAGGAATCCACAAAACTAAGGCTTCAGTTTCTCCAGAGTTTCTATCCAGGCCTAACACTAGTATTTAGTTCACAGCTGCAATGTGTCTCTCTTGTCTTCTTACAGAATCACAGAATCACAGAATGTTGGGGATTGGAAGGGACCTCGAAAGATCATCCAGTCTAATCCCCCTGCCAGAGCAGGAACCTAAACAATTTTACACAGGAAGGCGTCCAGGCGGGTCTTGAATGTCTCCAGAGAAGGAGACTCCACAACCTCCCTGGGCAGCCTGTTCCAGTGCTCAGGATTCTTGGGTGGGATTAAAAACGTTAGCTAAATAACCAACCAGCTTTTATGGCAGTAGTTTTTCTTTTAGATAAAAAACTGCTAGAATGTCCTGGAAAATGTCAGAAATATAAAAATTTGCTAATACAAAATTTTTTAAAAGTAAAAACTTTTGGAGAGATTTCTGTTTTTCTGA